CAATCACATTTTATGCGCTTATGATGTGACCGCATATGTCCATGGTCTCTACTAAGGTTATCGAGTCCACCAGGGCGGCCTGCAATTTTACGGGTCATGTGAATCGGCGCCACTGCCGCAGTTGCATGCGGACGAATCAGATTTCATCTGTAATCATGAGATCTGATCATCATCAATCGTGATGTAAAAAAAATTTTTGCCTGTTAAAAGACTCCTATTAAGCCATACGAACTTTAATAATTTAATAACGATAAACGATTTTAATTTTAATGACTCAGCTGTAAATTTAAAAAACTTTAAGCATATTTACTATCTGGGTAAGTTTTCAAATATTGTACATAATACTTAAACAAGATACAAAACCACACTGTTATAGTTTTTTTTATGGTACTAATTATTTATATCATTCTGAGTCAATTCATGGTTATTCACCTCATCCGAAAATGATAAATACATCAGATATGGTTTTCTACTTTCCGGAGCCCAAGTTGCTAGCTGATGCTTCTTTTTCTCCACTGTCTGCACTTCTTCTTCTATTTCCAGCAATTTGCTACATTTCATAACTGCACGAACATAATTCCAATTATTGGCTGATTTTTCAGTGCAGACTCGTTTGAATGCACGTTCAAACAAAGGCCAGTTTGATTTGACAAAGGTGTAAGCATCTTCTTGATTTCCAAGGTCATCATTATCAGATATATTATCAACACTTCGATCTTCAAAAATTTCACTAGATATTTCAGATGGTACAGGCAAGGTACTAGTCATAACTTCATCGTTCATACCCTTGATGACAAATAGAGATGGGCAATGTTAGTACTTATTTTTCTAATATTTTACACAATAAGTAATGAATTATGATGATTATGGAGTTTAAAAATTTACTCTTCAGACTAGTAATAATTAACAATACATAAGTGTAAGTACGGGTTAAAAAATAATTATTACTCATATTATTATCTTGCCCATCTCTAATGACAAGAAATGGTGGTGTAGTACGGCATTCAAAATTACTTCTAATTAATCTTCGACGTTCTCCATTTGTTAGATTTACAAATTTTCGTACCAAATGTTTACACAATAGGAAATGACTACCAACAAAGGCAGGACAACTACAGACCCACTTAGTCGTATCAGTGAAGTATGATCTAACTGGCTCTGCTATTCTTGTACCTATACTCAATCTTCTCTTCTTATTATTATGCATTTCAGCCTGTTGCTTATCACTTGTACCAGCATAGTTCCATGCTTTTTTAAAACTCTCTCACCACCAAGGCTCTACTATACCATTCAAAACCTGAGAGAATTGTTCTTTCTGAGCAGGAATTACTTCTCCAAGGAGTGTCCAAAAAAATAAATCCAACCTAGGTCTATTAAAGCGTTGCAGATAATACTGCTTAATAACACTCCAATGTGCTTCAATTTTCATTGTTGTTTTACTAAGAGGAATGGTGGGTTTAGCTGATTGTGCCTACAGGTGCCATCGCTGTGGAGAGTACCAGTTTGTCCAAAGGTAAGCCCATAATATCCGCAATGAATTTTTAACACAAAATTGGTACATCTCCTTTACAGCATTTTGCCTTATATTCACTGGTGACAAAACGTTTCCCTGGTTATCAACTGGTATAAGTGGATGTAAATCAAAATGTTTTTGTAATATATTTAAAACCGTCTTTTGATGCATCTTTAGGTAAGGATAAATTTTATTTAATAAAAATTTTTAATATTATACTGAGTGGGTATAATTAATTAAATCTCAAACGATTAACTAACATAAAATTTTTGGCTTAATTTATACCTGTGGGCAAATAACGTAGGTATTTAGATTTCTATCATCTTCGCTTGGATAAAAAATTGGATTTATAAAATCAAATTCATCGGCTGCTTTGTTGGCATTATAATTTATAGTTAATAATTTTGTATTATTTGATCGTTTAGCTTTCTCTTTAAGCTTAAGTTTTAAAGTCCGGTTTAAGTGCCAAGCACATAATTGTACAACTGAGAATCCCCATACCGCTATTGCAGCATTAATTTCTGCAAAATCCTTGTCCATAAACACAAAAGATGGGTTGATATTACGTGCCTTTACAGACTCAAAGAATATTTTTAAGATTTCGCCACGTCTAACTACACTATTTGCCACTTTTGCCATATCAACTACAAGATAAGCAATTGGGAATCCTGTCCCATCAATGTCTGCTACTATACTATATAATTCATAATGCCCTCTTGCAGTTCGATATGTTGCATCCACATAAATTTCATTGATATTAATATTGTGATTATTTATTTCATCTAATAGGGGGGTCGTAAATGCAATAACTGTAGATTTTAAATTCGGCATATCAATACACCGATGAAAGCCTTGACTATTGTATTCATCAAGTAGCACACATGCAGATTCAAATGGATTTTGATGCTGTTGAAAAAGTTTTTGACCTGCAATTTAGTAAGAAACATATAATTAATAATTAGAATTTTCAATATTAATAAGCACTTAATATTGAAAGTATATAAGGATCGATAGAATAATAGTCAGTGACTATATTATTCTATTATCATTCTATTATCCTATTGTATTTTCGATATTAAGTACCTAAGATAATATTAAAATTAAAAGTTTTGTTACTACCTTCAATAGACTTCCAGTAATAAATCCGCTTTGGCGAAAATTTTGAGATATCAAAACCTTGACGCCGTAGATGATTTATGAGGTCATTAGTAGTAAGATGTGAATATTTTCCAATTTCTTCTTTCAGTTCATCAGACATTTCAGCACAAATATCCGGATGTGGATATAAGAGCCCGTGGTAAATATTCACTATTGCAGTGCCAAGATCCAAATTAACTTTTACCATAATTTTGCCTTTGCAGTCATAGCGAATTCGTCGTTTACGGTTTGAATCTTTATATTGTCTTTGTGCTTCATTTGATTGGCAGCATATATAATGGAACGTACCAACCTTATCACCAAATTTTTTAGATATTTTGGCGTACCAGAAACTGCAATTATAAATATTTTTTTTTAAAAAAATACTTTTTTCTACCAAATTTGTGCCTCAATCAAATTCATTTAATTTGATCCATTATTGATATCTTATGATCTTGTGATCGAATTTTGATAATTTTGATTACAATATCAAAAGATATCAACGATTGATCAAATTACACGAATTTGATTAAAACACGAATTAGATAGAAAAAAAGCATAATAATAATAATAATAATAATAAGTTTAAACATCAATTAATCTCAATCAGCTTGAAATCAAGGTGCAGTTTATATACTTACTTCTATGAGTAATTATCACCATTTTCTATTTCAGAAACTACAAGAGCAGCAACCTCCTTTGCTGTTATATCCGGAGTTATATCCACATTCACTAATAAATGCGTCTGATAAACTTCATTCAGATTTTCAAGTTCATATTTAATCAAGTCACTCACGTCAAGACAATCAATCTCAATACGTTCAATATTACTAGTATTTGTATTTCGAATAGTATTATGATCAGTATCTTCAGATAAATCTGTGATTCTAGCTGGTAATTCCTTTTTATTTCTTCTACTCCTTTGTTCACGATTATTTTTGCATATTCCACAGGTTTCATGATAAATACCATCTCATAAGAAGGTATTTTCCGGACAATCAGTTTTACACGAAGAGCAGTTCAACATTACTGTAAAACAATTTATAAATTTAATAGGTTTTAGATGCCGTTATTTAGATATATAGTTTCAATATTTTGCAATATTTTATTTTTTATAGATTATACGCGATATTTATTAGAAATAGCTGACATTTTGTTTTATTATTAACATAACAGGGGCCATAGACAAAACTAAGAAGAATAATTGGAAAAACAATTGTACGATACATTTAATTTTCAAAAACAATTGTTTTGAACTTTCGTTTAGAGTATCGGGACTTATACAATTTTAGAGATTTTAATTGTTTAACAATAATCTTTGAATTGCATAAATTTGGATATTCTACTTTTGTTTTTTTTAATAGGCTCGAATTAGAGTGTTCTGACTTATGTGTTTTCAGCGATATCATTGTTCAAACAATTAAAAATCCCTTGAAATTGTATAAGTTTGGACACTCTAGCTCGAATGGTTCTTCCTTTATGATATTTAATTACTAACACAATAATTAAATATATATTTGCGGTTAGTTCAATCTAATTTATTTGAAGTGAAAAATTCTTGTATAACAATTACACAATTTAATAAATTAGACGTAAAGTGTTAGTCTCAATCGAGCTAGTTTTATTTAATTAAAAACATTTGAGATAGCTATTACTAGAATAGCAAGTCGAATTCAATTACGCTAACTAACTTAAATCGCATACTTGCATCGTAATTATGTGATAGTCATTTAAACAAATATCATGAAGAGAAGCAAAGAATCTTGTATAACAATTACAGAATATCCGATTCTTGCATAGCATCGTGATCTGTAAAAGGCACATCTTTTTGCAAAGCACAGTAAGCGCAAAATGTTCAGATTTGTGTAATTTCAAAATTTTCATTGTTAACGAAAGATTCTTAAATCACATAAATCTGAACATTTTATTTAAACGATGTAGCAGACTAAAAAATTTAGGAATAAAATATCTAATTAATATCGATCAAGCAAATTTGCTTGTATCTTACAATTTAACAAATCATCTTGATCGTTTATAATATATCTAATTACTCTACAAAGAAATAATAATCTGCTTTCGAAAAATGGAAGACCCAATTTTAAAAATTTGTAATGATTTAACCGAAAATATTTATAATGTTAGCGAGTTTAAAGAGTGGATGAAATATATACTACCGCTTCTTTACGAACATTTGAATTATAGTATACAATATATAGTGAAATTAATTGTAACATCGTATATATAGAAGAGTATAAGGCTCATAGCCAAGAGCTTGATAGAATCAAGCAATTTATTGAATTTTTTACTGAGCTTACTTATGAGTATAAATTACTCGAATTACATAGTCTTAATGTATGAAAAATTATGTGAAGCTGTGATTTATGATAATCCTTCTGACAAAGAATATCAATTTCGTCAATATCATTTTACTCTCCAAGGCTTAGAAATTTGTGAATTTGTCAGTTTATTCTACATGAAAGAGGAATGTAGCATAGGTTATAAAAAGTTTTACGAAAATTGCTATACTATAGCTTCTAATAGCAGTATGAAGAATTTATATGGAAGAAATTTTCGTCTTTTTGATGTAAATAATTTGTCTTTAAGAGAAGAATAAAAAATTTGTAACAAATTATTGCGCAAGTGCGATCATCTTTTCTTGCGCGTACGGGAGTACGTATGGATGACGTAGATATGGACCTAACTACTAACGGGTGAAAATATATTTTTCATTGCAGATGAATCTGATTCGTCCGCATGCAACTGCGGCAGTGGCGCCTATTCACATGACCCGTAAAATTGCAGGCCGCCCTGGTGGACTCCCAAATGATATGATGACTATTGTCCAACATGTTAGCGATTAGGAGTTGGGCTCCCTAAATAAATCATGATATTGGATATAGTTTGTAGAATTTATGAATTTTGCACATTGAGATCTCATTATCTATTAACCTTGTGCTTTAAAGGCTCTTTGGGACTGTTGCGTTACAGATGCAATTCTGTTATACTAGTTGTTTACTACGTCAAGTCCATTAACTATAGTATTTATGTTGGAGCTCTATTATTCGGTGTTTTTGGCGGTATATGGATCCAAATCACGTGGCCGCATTTTAGGCTATTTGGAAAATTACGTAATGTACAGGGATATTTACGTAATTCAGGGATATTTGAATTATTCCTTAACTTTGTCAAGATAGTCGTCATATTTGAATTATACATTCCTTAACTTTGTCAAGCACTGTTAAGCCTATTAACATAGTCGTCCTGTTGATTATTATAACTCAATTCATTAATCCAACTGTTGGTGTTCATATCAATTGCTAATCTGAGTCTTATTCGTTATTGTTTGATTAAAAGGTCAAAATCAATTTCTAAAATATCTAATTTCTTTTTAGGGAAACGGTTTCTTTGCTAAATACGACCATAAAGAGTGGAATTATAGATCTTTTTGTGAATACCTTTCAGACGAAAATATTCAAATTAGTGATATACCCCATGCGTGGATCTTGAATCTAGAATACGTCAAGAATAATGTGAAAAAATATAGTATAAAAAAATATCAAGTTGAAGAGATTTTGAGGAAGAATAAAGACGGGCAAATTAACAATTTTAGGAAATCCCATTCATCTTCTTCATTAACATCCGAAGAAAATGACTTAGTAGATGCACCGTTATTCGGTGGCGTAAGTGGATCATAATAAAATATTTTTATTATTTTTATTTACAATACTGCAATAAATCCTATTTTTTATTATAAAAGGACTCTATAAAATTGGCCAACGGTCAAACAATACGAGAAATAATACTCCCTCTCTATAATAAAGCAGAGCTGTCGTGAGTGTTTCAACTTAGGGCCATCTTACTATAATTCTGTAATTAAAGATGTATATAATACATTTATTTATAAAAATTATATCTTTTTTAGTGATTTACTTAAAATTGGAATAATCTGTCTTGACGACCCGATATACAATGAATATCCGTACAGCCTAATATAAACAAGATTTGGATCAACAAGTTCAACCTTCAGATATTTGCGAAGCAATCTCCATACGAATCGATGAAGCCAAGCAAATCATGAGTATTGAAGAAGCAAACCGGATGTTGAAATCCTGGTATCAACAGGATGATTTATTTACATTTAATTTCGAATTATCCATGCAAAATTTAATCCGGAAGTTGGTTGAGAGAGTATATGTTTTTTATTATATTTATTGTTGCCAGGAAAACCAGACTTTATGCTAAATTTTTTTTTTTTTTAGTTGGATTTTTTTTGGTCTAGAACCTCGGTATTGGGACTTTAAGCATTCAGAAAACCATAAAAGCAGTGCCTTGTTCTTCGACACATTTATTGATTTATTCTACGATAAACTCTATTCGGTAGAGTCGCATACGTAAGTATTAATTAGTCCTTAGTCTCTAATTAATCTACATTAATAATTAAAATATTATATTAATTTAGTGAATTGCTTGCTAATAAAGATAGACGAAATTGTTCAAAAACTCGAAACGATAAATTAGCGCGAGCAATGATTCCGGATATTACCATTTCCAATTTAAAACATAATGTCGAATTTTTTATTATCGAAAATGGCAAACTTCAATCTATCGATGATAAAAAGAAAGTACTCAATGATACTTTTAAATCCTGCACGCTTTTACACGATATACTACGAAAAATCCACAATGAAATAACATTTCATGATGCACAATCAGTGAAAATCTTTGAAACTTTTAAAGTGTTTGCGATAGTAATTTCTGGTAAGAATTACCTAAATTTTATTTTATTTTTTTTTAAAAAAAATATTAATAATTTTAATTTTAAGGGTTGGATATGAGAGTTTTCACCATGGCTTTAGCTGGAAAAGAGCTTTATGTTTTCCAAAAAATTGCCGAGTGCTCGTTGCCCACAAGAGTGCAGAATTGCGACCTTCTAAATAAAACCATCACTACTTTAATTAAACTGCGAGTAAGTACATATATTATTAAATTTAAAATATATTCTTATATATAATATTTATTTTTGCTTTTATTATAGATTCTCTCAAATAAAAATTTTGTCATTTACGATTCTTTGCATCAACAATCAAGGTCGACGTCTCCCCCTCAGCTTATAAAGCTAACAAGGGATGTTGGAATGTCACCATATAGCATTATTAAAAAAGCGCAGAGCAAGAATAGATCAAAAAGAAAAAAAACCCCGAATTCAAATTCAAGTCAATGGTATATAGTAAAATTTATAATTAATTGTTCCAACTAAATATTGATTTATTTATATTCTTTACTACCTTATAGCTAACGATATTGAACAATCGGAAGATTAAATGATGGACCGAATTGATTTATTCATTAAAATAGGCATTTTTAAATTTTTTTTTCTTTTTCCTATATTATTTTTAGGATAATTCTTGATTATATACATGCTAGGGCATTAATAACTTATTTCAATGATGTTTGCGGTTTATTAATTTTATCAATGCCTTATTCTGTTTAATTTTATCTGCTCATACGACAGCTAATCATGCAAAAAATCACAGTATTCTATTCTACATGTTTTTTTCATTAAACTTACATTATTAATCTTCATAGTATTAATGCTATAATGACATATCTAGTGTTAGCATTAGACGTATACTTACCGTTATTTTATATATCAGATTTTTTCTTAAATTTATGAGCCAACCTTAAGGGTAAAGGGTACTATTTGTAAAACTGGTAGTAAATTAATTAAAAACATTTTATTAAGAAAACTTAGTTTTATGCTTCTAAATAAAATTGTAGAGTAGGTAGAGGTAGTAAATGAATCCGGATTTGTTTTATAATTCGGATAATATATAAATTCGGATATAAAGAGATCTTCGGTTAAAATTTTAATTGTTAGTAAGGTATGAATATAAAAAATAAGAATTATTTTATATTCACCGGTGGTGAAATTCACCAGCCTAAGAATTTTAGGGTTAGGATGCAGTTTTAGTACAAAGAGGGAGGGAGGAATTTATATACATAATGAAATTCGTCCAAAAAATAATTTATATTAAATATCAAATACATAATACTAAAGGGGTTTTAAATTATTATTTTTTTTCTATTATATTCGGATTCATTTTTTTGATTATATTTTATATCCGGATTGTAAAAACGTATCCAGGTTCTAAACTCTACGCTGCGCCTACTGCGCGTATCCAATTTACAACCTACTTGAAATTATATATTTTTTTATATTTTAATTTGCCTAATTTATATTTTAATTTTGCTTGGAATTGTACCTAAGTTTGCCCAGAATCATACTTAATTTTGTTGAAATATTATATTTCAGTTTTCTCTGAAATTATATTTTAATTTTGCTTAATCATGTAAGACAAGTTATGTATAATATTGTGTAATAATAATAAAAATTTCATCCTTTAATAACCTTAATGTTAAATTAATACTGGCCGGCATTAATACCAAAGCCAGCCTGCTTTACTATGATACATTCGTACTTACAATGTGAGTTACCCTAACAACAGGTAAGTTATTACAACTCCGGGCCAAAATTCGAAATTACGCTCCGGCACATTTTTCCGTACTTAATTTTGCTTAAAATTCTATTTTAATTCTTATACGTAACAAGATATTACAACCATTATTATGAGAACCAAAGCATTATTTATGTGGGTAGAAGGTGTTTCACCGATGACCTTCTTAAGATATTCAAGAGGAGTTTCAAAATTTTCATATTCTTCTACAAAAATTTTTTAATATTTCTAGCATTGTTAGATCCGGGGCATTACACGAACGCGTGAATATTTAGTTACACTAAACAAATTTGAACACGCGTGCGGACAAAAAAATTCCAAATTACGTTTCTGATATGATCTATGAGATGCATCAAAAAACAACTTTTTGGGTTAAATTAATGAAAGACCCGTCTAAAAAATCCTCCCGTCGGGTGAACAATATGCCACCCGGGCGGAAACGGGTCAGTTTGAGGCAGACATTCGTATGATTGGCAGTTTAAATCAATTTAATTTTACATTATTTATACAGTTTAAAGCACTTTTTTAAAAAAAGAAAACTACTACGAATAAACAAAAAAGAAGTATATAGAAAGGTTTATTAGGGTTGTAGGACTCCACTATT